CTTTGGTGTCGTTGACCGGGTCCATGTGCCTGTAAATGTACCCCTCTAAGTAGGAATGGAACTTGGGCGTGGGCGGGAAGAAGGCCAGGCAGATGGACATCAGCTCCCAACCCCGGGCCAGGCTCTCGTAGCGGAAGTTCTCGGTGGTCTGCCGGCACAGCTGGATGTAGAGTTCATCCCGGAGGCCCTGCATGCTCCAGCCTTTGGTGGCGATCTCTAGGGCCACGCTCAGCTGGTCGGCCTTGGACCGCCGGTCGCCCATGTACATCTGGATGAGTTTGAAGATCTCGCAGGCTTCCTTCTTGACGTTCCGGTCGCTGGTCATGATCATGGGCTTCTTGATGGACTCGCTGCTCCAGGCCAGCATGTTGGCGATGGAGATCTTGCGCCGGAAGAGGCCCTGGGTGTGCTTGTTGAAGTGCTTGGAGGCCCAGTTCTCAATGTCCGTCTCCGAGGAGGGCTTCCTCAGGTTGAAGGTGGGGAAGATACAGCTGCTGCTGGGCATCATGTTCCGGTTTTGTCGGCTGCTCTCGAACTGGACGCAGGCACCCAGGTCTTCCGACTGGGGAGAGAAGGCAAAAGAGAGGACAACCGTGAGCAACAACAACAACAATAATAATAAAAAGTTGGAAGGGATCTTGGAGGTCTTTATGACGGTTGCAACGTCCTGGGGGGGTCACGAGATCCCCTTTTACAACCTTCTGACAAGCAAAATACTACTACTACTACTACTACTACTACTACTACTACTACTACTACTACTACTACTAGAACTCTCTGCTATGACCTGTCCGTCTTGGGTGGCCCTGCACGGCATAGCTTATAGCTTCATTGAGTTACACAAGCCCCTTCGCCACGACAAGGCAGTAATCCATAAAGGGGACTACTACTACTACTACTACTACTACTACTACTACTACTACTAATAATAATAATAATAATAAAGTTGGAAGGGATCTTGGAAGTCATCTAGTCCAACTCCCTGCTCAGGTAAGAAACCCTATACCAGGGGTCTTCAAACTTGGCCCTTTTATGAATTTTTAGATAGGTAGTGTATGTTTAGTTATTTAAGGAGCATTTAAAGGAATACTTTGTTTTAAATATGTATAAGGGAACTTTAATGTTATAAGTAATGTCTATATGTGTGTTTTTGAGGGTGTTTATAAAGAATGATGGATAAATTTTAAATAATATAAGTATGACATTAGAAAATGTCTAGTTTTTTTCTGAATAATTTATAAAGGGGAGAGAAGATTATGGAGATTGATTGAAAATTCTAGGTAAGAAGTTTAAGTTTAATAATTTAAGGAGTATTTAAAAGAATATTCTGTTTTAATGGTATAATTAATGTTTATATGTGTATTTTTGAGTTTGATGACAAAGAAAGAGGGATAGATTTTATATAATATAAGTATGATATTATGGAGATTGAATGAAAATTTTAGATAGGTAGTGTATGTTTAGATATAATTTTTTTTGTTTTTTATATATTGGTCTTAAAGTATTTTATAATTTGTTTAATTATTGTAATTAATTGCTTATGGTCTACATGTGTTTAAAATTTTTTCCTTTAAGTTTTAATTAAGCCTGTATTCAGCTCTGGGAAGGTTGGGGGAGGGTTGGGGTGGGTTGGGAGGGTCTGGGGAGGGGAATTTTTTTTCTTCTGTAAAATTTCAAAAAACTTTCAATAATAAAAAAAAAACGTGGCCCTTTTATGACTGGAGGACTTCAACTCCCAGAATTCCTCAGTCGGCCATTTTGATGAAACTGCGGACTTGGATCCAGACCAGGGGCCTTCAAATTTGGCCCTTTTATGACTGGTGGACTTCAACTCCCAGAATTCTTCAGTCGGCCATTTTGATGAAACTGCGGACTTGGATCCAGACCAGGGGCCTTCACACTTGGCCCTTTTATAACTGGAGGAATTCTGGGAGTTGAAGTCCACAAGTCATTAAAAAGGCCAAGTTTGAAGACCCCTGCTCTTACCTCTCATATGGCACCTAGGAATGCTGGGAATTGTAGTTCCAGCACACCCGAAGGGCTGAGGAAGAAAAATTTGATTTTTTCACTTTCCCAAAGGATTAATGTGTTGTTATATGCAAATATTACTGTAATGCGCTCTACATGAGGCTACCCTTGAAGAGCGTTCAGAGGCTGCAGTTGGTTCAGAATGCAGCCGCGAGAGCGATTCTGGGCGCGCCAAGGTACGCCCACGTGTCCCCTATCCTCCGCGAGCTGCACTGGCTTCCTGTGGGTCTCCGGACGCAATTCAAGGTGTTGGTTATCACCTTCAAAGCCCTTCATGGCATAGGGCCAGGTTACTTACAGGACCGCATTCTGCCGCACAGCTCCCAGAGACCGGTGAGGTCCCATAGATTGGGCCTCCTTCAGGTCCCGTCGGCCAGACAATGTCGGCTGGCGGGCCCTTGGGGAAGGGCCTTTTCTGTGGTGGCTCCGACCTGGTGGAATCAACTTCCCCCCAAGGTTCGAACAACTCCCATCCTGCCGGCCTTTTAGAAAGCCGTTAAAACTCTCCTGTTCCGGCAGGCCTGGGGCTGATGTCCCCGGGGGGGGGGGCGGGATATGATCGGACTTGCGGTATGATTGTATTATTTTATTGTTTTATTGTTAGATGATTGTTTTAATTTTGTATGCCGCCCTGAGTCCTTTGGGATTGGGCGGCATATAAATAAAATTAAATAAATAAATAACTATTTTCCCTCTCCTTACAGGGGCATTCCTGTATACTGAAATTTCCAGTGTATGCCTTGATGTTTTCAAATATTCACTTTATTTATTAAATTTATGCCCGCTATCCAAAGCGACTCTGGACATTTGAACAATATAATGAAATCCTGAATTTAGAAAGAATTTAAAATGCTGTCTTGCAGGCCTCTCGCTAAGCATACAGTTTTCCTGTCTGGAGAGACAGATAGATAGATAGATAGACAGAGATAGAGAGATAGAGAGATAGAGAGATAGAGATAGATAGATAGATAGATAGATAGATAGATAGATAGATAGAGAGAGAGAGAGAGAGAGAGAGAGAGAGAGAGAGATTTTTCCTTCTTAAATCCCTGCCGTTTAGTTCTGTTTCATTTATTTGCTTCCCTTAATTGTGCATTCAATTTCTTGTACAGCTCATCTCACCTAACTGGAGAGGGGGGTGGGATATTCTGCAAATATAAAACAAGAGAAACACCTGAACGGAAGCACAGATTAAAACAGTGGTTAAAAAACGGGATTAACACTTACAGGTTAAAAAATAAAATTCGGTGGGAGAAAAAGCGTAACGAAGCAGAGGTGCATCGCACTCTTGGACACACACACATACACACATCCCTGCTAACTTACCACTGATGAAAAATTAAAATTAAAATTACAGGCCGCGACTGGCTTGTCAGCCAAATGCAGTTCGTTGCTACGAGTGTTTTTATTTGAAAATTGGAGAGTCTCCCGGCACCCTTCAAGTATTTGCTTCACAGAAGGAAATTTAAATTTAAATTTAAACCCGCTGGCTGTCATTCCAAAATGCAGATTGGGGAACAAAAGACTGAAGTAAAAGAAAACCAGGAAAAAAAAATCCCTAAAAGACATCGCTGACCTTCCCAGTCATCATAACTAGATGACCAAAGGATACTGAATCTTTTCCAAATACTGGGGGGGGGGGGGATTCTCGGGGTTTCTTGCAACCGTTGCTTGTTCAAGAGTTTCTTCCTTCCGTCTCCGCTGGAACAATCTTCCAAAAGAGAATAAACCAGCTCAGGACAAGCTTATAATCAATCTTAACGCAGCGGGTAAACATATGTTAGGAGCTTAGTGGGATTATAAACTGGAGGTAAAAAACAAGCCAGGTTGAACAGAATAACAGAAATACGTGGCTTTTTATGGTTTAAGAAAAAAACAACAACAACAACAGAACAGAATAACAGAGTTGGAAGGGCCCAGAATAGTATAGGGCAGTGGTTCTCAACCTTTCTAATGCCGCGACCCCATAATACAGTTCCCCATGTTGTGGTGACCCCCAACCACTTATACATCACGGGGTGCCAGGGGCGTAGCCAAAGAAAAGGGGGAAAAAATGGCAGACAGCCTTGTTTGGCGACCCCCGTGAAATGGTCGTTCGACCCCAAATGGGGTCCCGACCCGCAGGTTGAGAACCACTGGTATAGGGTCTCCCGTTTGAGCAGGGGGTTGGACTTTTCCAACTCTCTTATTATTTAATTAATCAGTAGAATATCTTGCCTCTAGTCTAGAAGTTGTGGGTGCTTCATTACTGGAGGTTTCCAAAAAGAAATTGGACCGTCATTTTTTCTGAAGGGGTACAGGGTCTACTGCTTGAGCAGGGGGTTGGACTAGAAGACCTCCAAGGTCCCTTCTAACTCATTTCTCTTAAGTGCACAGACACAGTGCACATAAGCGCACACTATTTTTGCTGCTGTGTGCATGTGTGGTCTGCTGGGAGATGTTTTATCTGTAAAACCAAGCAGATAAATATGCCTGGAGCAGGGTTTCCTAACCTCAGCGAGTTTAAGATAGCTGTGCTGGCTGGGGAATCCTGGGAGTTGAAGTCCACCCATCTGAAAGTCGCTAAGGTTCAGAAACACTGGATGGCTGGGGAATTCTGGGAGTTGAAGTCCACCCATCTCAAAATACGCTGAGGTTCAGAAACATTGGCTGGCTGGGGAATTCTGGGAGTTGAAGTCCACAAGTCTTAAAGTGGCCATGCTGGAGACCCCTGGCCTAAGAAATCAACGACAGGACAGCTGAGATGATGGCTGACAGACAGTTGCCATGTTTGTTGACCTCTTGTCTAAGGGAACCGTGACAGGACAGCTGACATGATGAGTGATGGACAGTTGACAGGATGGGCCTGTCCTAGGACACCTGACAGGTCCTTGTCAGGAGACACAGACACAGACACACACACACAACTCTACCACCATTTATGGAGTGCTCCAATTCCCCCACACAATACCTGGTCTTTCAGACCAGAGGATTAATCTGGACGTGTATGTTTAATGCTGAATCATTTCCAAATAATAAAGCTTTTGTAGATTAACCGCAGAGGCTCTAGGTCTGCCGGACCTCCCTTGCAGCTAAGATCTCCCAATTCAAATCCGTCCTGCAGGCCTCAAGTATGAGTCATCTTCATTTCTCTGAAGGAGTTTTTTTTTCCTTTTCCAGAAGCAAATCCTTTCCACCTCTCCTTTCAGGAAATTTATTTTTAATGTCTTTCTTTCAAGTGGCACTTCTCCTCCTTTCCCAGATCGGACGCCAGTAAAAGTCAAGGACCCTTCAGCTCCCAGGACCTCGCTCCGTTCTTAAATAATAATAATAACAATAATAATAACAATAATAATAATAATAATTCCATCCTGCGACGATATCTGTAATACCATCAAACATCCACATCTTCCTATCCCAGGTCCTGGGTAAGGACTCGATAGGTAGACAAAATGCCAAATCCAGTCTGAACATCTGGCTGACTGTGCGATGATCAATAATAATAATAATAATAATAATAATAATAATAATAATAATAATAATAATAATAATAAT